AATAAGCTTGAAAACTTAACTCGATTTTTAGAAAGATAACTTAACTCTGAAGATGTTCATAAAAAGCTTAAGGTGCTTTACTTAGTCATTATATATGATTTCTTGATATTTAGTAAAAGAAAGTATTTCAAAAATCAAGTGTTTTAGTAGTTTAAACATAAAAATTATATTTGAGATTTTTGGAAATCGACGTGTCACTTTAGAGATTTTAAAATACACTTTAACAAGGAAGAAGGACTGATCGCAAATACTAAATGCCTTTATTTTTTTTGTCACACAACCCAAAGATGAATAAGAATTCATATATATAGACATATAGTAAAGAAAGCCGACAAAATGACATATATAGATGTCGAATACCCTATTTAACCGAATGAGTGGAATATCAACCTAATAGCATTATGAAAATACTTTAGCTACAATCCCAATGCCTTTCACAGAAGGTCTTTCTAGCAATAGAATAGTAAAATATCACATTTGACGTCTTAGGAATTTTCAAGAATTCGTGCTAAAAGGAAGGATAGAGCTTAGCCTTAACATACCTTCCCAACGAACATCTGAATGCCTGTAGTTCCTTCACAAAGGTTGTTCCTTACGTCCTAAGCTTCGCAAACACTATATATATGCAGCTTATATGCACCTATAAATAGTTCATAATTGAGTTTAAATCGGCAGATTTGCCATATGACCCTAACTTGACGAAACGTCCGTAGAACTTTGTAAAAACGATCATAAAAGAGTCCCAAGATGATTACCTTGGAAAACCAAGTATAAAGCTTGAAGAACTAGCAAGAACAACAAATTCTTATTTTCCAAGAATAGCTCCAAACATAGTTAATAGAAGGGGGAAATGATTGCAAAGCATAGAGATTGCATTTCTAGGCACGGCGGCAAATTTAATGGTAGAAATAGTTAAAAACACACCTTAATCACTCAAGAACACCATGGAACCTTCTCTTCAGCTTTCTTACTGTTTTAGGATGAAAATGAAATGTTTTTAAATCTCAAAAGTCGAATTTGCCAACTTATATTACTTGTTTGACCCGACCCGGTTCACGACCTGGTTTCAGCCTGGACAGTCCACGGTAAAACAGTCATAACGTTTTACTCCGATGTCGGATTTGTGAGCACGTGATTTTTGCCCTATATGAATTATTCCAACAAATTCAAAACAAAATAATTTCTTTCAGTGTTTGCAATTTCGAGGATTTCGTGGCATTTTCTGTTAATTATTTGCATTGGTCTGTGCATTTCATTTTGTTTAATTAATGAAAATACAAAAAATATGCTGCATTTGCATTTAGGATTTATTTTTTTGCATTTTTGAATTAATTAGTAATTTGGTGTTTTATAAAATTGGAAAATATCACAAAATAGTTCATTTTGGCACTTTAATTTTAATTTTTCGAATTTTGATAGTTTTTCTTTAATTTGGCATTTAATTAGTGATGGTAATTACTATTTAGAATTAATTAATTCAATTTGATCAGATAATTTGATTAGGAATTAATTTAGGTTTTATTCTTAATTTTAATTTTATTTAAAAGAAATTAAAGGAAAAATTGAAAAAAAAAGAAAAGAAGAAAAACAAAAAATGAGATCAGATTTTTGGGCCATTTTTCGTTTTAATTCACTCAACCCAAATCGTTCCCAGTCAAAACCTCGCCCAAACCACGCTCCTGCCAGGTCCAAATCAGTTGGTCTCTCAGACCATCCAAACGACGTAGTATAAGGCCAATACTATGTCGTTTTGAGTTTCTGAGGACAAATCAATCTGAGCCTTTCATTCATCTTCATCGGATGGCCAACAAAGCCTCACCATAATCACATAAGAAGGTTCGAGATATTTTTATTCGTACTGATGTCATGTTGCCTGGGGACACTGCATTTTTGTTTCGTGCGTGCAGGTCAAGGTAGGGACTCTGATCGATCCCTCTGCTAGGATTTCGGGGTTCAGCTGTGAGTTGGTAAGCTCTACCTCTTCCTGGAGCTTTTATAGAATGGTTACTTTTGTTATACAGTTTGGGTATAGTCGGGGCCTTGTCTCGACAGTGCTTATGACACTTTTAGAGGCTATTGTGGACACAGTATTCTGGGTTTCTTTTTGTAGCTTTCAGTTTCCAGCCCATAGGCTTGGCATGTATATATATGTGTGTAGGCATGTATGTCTCCAATTGCGGCCTCGTCGGCCAACTAGCACTTTATTATTTTGGCTCGTCTACCTTTATTTATATGGCTTATTGTTATTCAGGTCATGTCGTTAATGGTCCAGACTTAGTATTTCAGATGTTGTGCTACCCGATCTGTTGGGCCCCCAGTTTAGTTAGCTAGTATATTTAGTGGCTAACTCGATCGAATACAGTATCGAGTGACAGTCGTGCCTCCCCTAATTTGGGGCGTGACAAGAATCTTGCTAGACATAATTTCTCAGACATATAACGCAAATTTTGATAGGAGAAAATTCTAAAATAAAATATTAATGTAAATATAAATCCAAATAATACATACGTTTAGCCAGGATTTTGATCAACCCATAATTTCTCTCTCTGCGTCTCACAAGAATGCCATAATTAATTTGAATAACAAGAGATTAATCCATCACTGATTTATAAGTGGACACAACTCTAGTTGAATTCAAAGATCAATATAACCTAAAACCTAAATATTAAAAAAGAACAGCCTCATGCACAAAGAATCCCGCATTCACGCTGGGTATGGGAAAGGACCGCGCTCTAAGGGGTCTGATATAGATAGTCTACCTTAATGCAAGCATTAGTGGTTGCTCCAAGGTTCCGCTTCAATAAATTATAGGACGATAAAAATAAGATACTCTTAATTATTTTCCTTACTTAATAGTTATACCGAGCTTTTTAAATATACCATTTTATTACTTATAATTAATAAACTATTATCGTCATTCACAAAAGAGCTCTAACTTTGAATTACTTTTTAGTTTGTTACATGAACCATGCTTTAAAGAAATGATGATATCTCCATATTCAAATCTCTAGCCTTAGACCGAACTTATCTTTCTATATAGCATTTTTCTTAAACTATTAAATTTTTCCCTCAAGTATCCCTTCATGTAAAAATTTTAGAAAAATTGTTCTTCTTTTTCTTTCATAAAACAAATTCTCTTTTGTGTTTTTGGTTCTTAACTAATATTACAATAATGCTAGTCTAAAGATAGTAACATCTAAAATAATATTTAAACATCGTATATATTTAGAAAGAAAAATAAAATTTAAGAACCTAAAATATTCATGAATATAGACGGAATGTTGATAGATATTATCGATTTTAGTATCAGTAAGTCCTTGCTTATTCTTTGTGGACTTTGAAGTTGATTTCCGTGTTTATTGTTATATCAAACTCATTTTTCTCATTTGAATTGAAGATATAGTCATTAAATTTATTATTCGAAGCATGAGACAATATATCTTGAGGCCTTATTTTTTAATTCGAAAAGAAATTATTTCGTTCATATTCAATGGTCATCATTGTTATTAGATCTTATTAAATAAGGAACTGAATTTACATTTTCGGTTGTTCTTCTTTGGATATAAATTAGATCAAGGAGCTATAGTTATTTTAAGCAACTTAAATACGAAAATGATTATATAAGTAAAAATCTTATTTGGTTTTGAATATAAATATTAGGAGTTTCAACGAGTAGTTCAAATAAAAAAATATTAAGAAATATTTTTAGTTTGTTTTAAAGTTTTAAATATTAAAAAAATATTACATATAAAAATTATATCTAATATAAAATATGATGTATGTATTATCCATCAATAATGATTAAACACCATATATTGAAAACGGAAAATCTGTAGGTCATCTTAAACTCTTTGTACATATGTATCACGACCTAAATTCCATTTTAGGCTGTGATGGCGCCCAACACCATTGCTAGGCAAGCCAACAGTGAACAATCTAGTGATTTTCCATTTTAACATGTTTTTCGAGTAAATAATTTTCCTTAATTTAAAGGATTTAATGCATAACGGATTTAAAATAATCAAAACGAAATCGACTAAATGCAATCATAACTATAGAAATACAATCCAAAATCATAAGTCTACTAACGTGTGCCAAGACCCGATGTCACAAGTGTATGAGCTACTAGTAGAATGTACAAAAGACTTCTACTCTACTGTCTGAAATAGAATAGACAGAAAATAAATCAAAAGAGAGACTCCGACTGCTGCTGAACGGCTCGGAAGGGCAGCTTACCGTATAGTCTCGAACCAGAAGTCATGCATGCACGCCGGACTTATAACCGGATGTACCTGCCTCAGATCCTGCACATCAAGTGCAGAAGTGTAGCATGAGTGCATAAACAACATGTACCCAGTAAGTATTTAGTATAACCTCGAAGAAGTAATGGCAAGGGGTCGACTTCCACACTTACTATAGGCTAAAAATATAATAATATGAAGTTTTAATTAAGCATGATATGTATAAAATGATAATAGAACACAGAGCAGGAAAATAAGTAAATAATCTTTTCATTTCATATAATAACCAAGTCATTTTTCTCATCTAATACTTTCACCTTCCAAGTCCATGAAACGATATTAAATATAAAAGGGGTTCCAATATCTCACGCACGAATTATGACGAGGACGTACGACCCGATCCAAATATACATATAAATATACCGTGCATTGTCGAGGGTCGAACGGCCCGAACCATAGATGTATCAATTTAACATGTTGGGGCAAACGGCCCGTTCCCATGAGAGTAGTGAAAATTTATCCCGCTCGCAGAATATACTTGCGAAGAGGTCGGACATGGATTTTTCCAAGTTATTATAATATCTCTCAATTCTTTTTCAAAGTAAGAAATTCAACTAGGAACCTTTAAAATATTGCAATCCTCAACCTTCGCTTTAATCCAAACAATTAGAAAGCATAAACAAGCAACGGTATCAACAAAATATGGTGTAAGCCTAAATTTACCCGGACATAAGCATGAATAGTAGCTACACACGGACTCTCGTCACTTCGTGCGTACATAGCCTCCACAAATAGAAGTACATATTGATTAAGTTCACCTATGGGGTTAATTTTCCTCTTCCAATGTTAAAAATGAGACTTACCTCATATTAAGACCTACTTCCTAGTCCAAGAATGTGCTAACACCTTCAAGTCGGTTCCGAATCACCCAAAACTAATCAAATAGTATATAAACTAACCAATACATGCTCAAAAGTTCGTATTCCAACTATTAAAGAGGTTACCCAATCCTAAATATAAGATTCTTAAAATTTACCCCCGGGTCCACATGCCCAGATTTTGAAAATTTTCAAAGAAAGTTATTACCCATAACCTCATGAACTAAAATATATGATTTTCACTAAATTCCATAACCATTTTCGTGGTAAAATCACATTTTTATCAAAACCTAGGTTTCTCATCTAAACCTATGATTTTCACATATTTTCATATTCAAATCTACTCATAATCTATGTATTAAACTCACATTAGATAGAAATTACTTACCTTAAAAAGTTAGGTTGAAATCCCTTTCTTTAAAGCTCTAAAATTGCCCAAGAGTGCAATAAATGAACCCAAAATGGCTTATGTCCCGATTTAAAATACACTGCCCAGCTGTCTTCTTCATCACGAACGCGACAGGGGCCTCGCGAACGCGGAGGCTGGCTTGGCCTACCCTTCGCGAAAGCGAGGGCTCTATTGGGAATGCGAAGCATAACAGTGGCCCAAAGTCCAGCCCAGGCTCTTCTACGCAAACGCAAGTCGCCTCACGCGAACGCGAAGGTTACAGATCCCAGACCTTCACAAACATGGACTAGCTATCATGAACATGCAGCACAAAATCCCCCAGCCCCAATTCCTTCATCGCGAACGCGAGAGTCTCTCCGCGTACGGGAAGAAGGAAACTAGAATTGGAATTTTTGGTTTTTCCAACATGGCTCTGAGCGGTCCAAAGCTCACCCCAGCCCCTCGGGGACCCCGTCCAAATGTACCAACAAGTCTGCTAACATGATACGAACCTGCTCAAACTCTCAAAACGTGTGAATCCACAACGAAACTAAGAATCTCACCCTAAAATCAAATTGAATCAAAATATGAACTTCAAGTTTACAAATTGCTCCAAACGCGCCGAATCACACTTAGACTACTCGAAATGAAACCAAATTTTGTGAGCAAGTCTTAAATCACCATACGGAGCTACTCTAGATATTGGAATTCCATTTGGACCTCGATATCACCAAAACCCTCTCCAAACCAAGTTTAAAGAACTTCAAAACCCAAAGAACCAATTTTCGATATTAGGCGCCGAAACGATCCCGGGTGATCCAAAACCCGATTTGCATGTCCTCCTCAGACTCCCAGGTCACCTCCTCAACTAGTTGGCCCCTCCACTAAACCTTTACCGCGGAAATTTTCTTAGATTTCAACTGGCGATCCTGTCTAGTAACAATGGCAACTAGCGCCTCCTCATAACCCAGGCTCTCACCTAACTGAATCGTGCTGAAGTCTAACACATGTGACAAGTCGGCATGATACTTTTGGAGCATAGACACATGAAAGCCGGATGAAATCGTGATATACTGGAGGTAAAACAAGGTCATAATCAATCTTCCCAACTCATCTCAACACCTCGAATGGGCATATAAACCTTAGGCTCAACACGCCCTTCTTCCCAAACCTCATGATCCCTTTCATCTGTGAGACTTTCAAGAAAACCTTCTATCCCACCATAAAGGATAAATCACGCACCTTCTAATATGCATAACTCTTATGTATCAACTTTACATTTTCCAAGGCAACCTTCACCAAATCAGTACCATATATTTTAGCCTCGCCGGGCTCAAACCACCTGATGAGAGAACGGCATCGCCGACCATATAGAGCCTCAAATGGATCCATCTCGATGCTGGACTAATAACTGTTGTAATAAGAAAACTCGTCCAAAGGCAAGAACCGATCCTACTGTCCCCCAAAGTCAATCACACATGCTTTGAGCATGCCCTCTAAGATCTGAATTGTAACGACCCTGCCGGTCCTTTCGAGAGTTATAGCCATGTTTCCCCATTCCATCTTCCTTTTGTGTTATTCAACTATATTATGATATGTTGGATCAGTTGATTCGGGTCTGGAGTGGTTCCGAAGAGGAATTAAAACACTTAATCTCTATTAGGAAGGCTTAAGCTTGGAAAGTTGACCAGATATTGACTTATGTATAAATAATCTCGGATGTGAATTATGATGGTTCTGTTAGCTCCGTTAGGTGATTTTGGACTTAGGAGCACGTCGGATATGATTTGGAGGTCCGTGGTAGAATTAGGCTTGAATTGGCAAAAGTTGGAAATTTGGCGATTTTGGTTGGTAGTGGAAAATTTGATATCGAGGTCGAATAGAATTTCGGAAGTTGGAGTAGGTCCATAGTGTCATTTGTGACGCGTGTGCAAAATTTCAGGTCATTCAAAGGTGATTTGATTGGTTTTGGTGTTGTTTTACGGAAATTGGAAGTTTAGAAGTTCTTAAGCTTGAATCTGAGGGTGAACTGGTGTTTTGATGTTGTTTTGATTGATCCATAAGGTTCGACTAAGTTTTTATGTTGATATATGACTTGTTGGTATGTTTGGTAGAGGTCCCAAGGGCCTCATGTTGATTTCGGGTGGTTGACGGAAAAAGGTTGGAATTGAGGAATGCTGAAGATTGAACTCAGTTGTCATAATCGCACCTGCGGAGTGGGAACCGCATGTGCGAGCCCACAGATGCAGCCAAGGATGAGGTTGGCTGGGAGCCGCAGGTGCGAGTAGTAGAGCGTACCTACGAGACCGCAGGTGCGGGAATTGGACTGCAGAAGCGGGTCTTGAGGGCTTAAGTGAGAACCGCACTTCCGATTGTTTTCCGCAGTTGCAGCATCACAGAAGCGACATGAGGATCGTAGATGCGGAAGTTCTGGGCAGAATGTATAAAAGGTGGACTTCGTGAATGTTAGTTCATCTTCCACCATTTTTAGTCGGCTTTGGAGCTTTTGAGAGCGATTTTGAGGAGGACTTCAAGGGTTTATCAGCAAGGTAAGTGGCTTGAGCCCTAATACTCGTATATGTGATGATTTCTCATGGATTAATCATGTAATTAGTGAAGATTAGGGGTGAAAATGAGGGGTTAGGGCTTGGGAATTGGAGAGTTTGATTTGGGGATTTGAGGGATCATTTGATGTCGAATTTTGATGAATTTGGTATGGATAGACTCGTGAGTGAGAGGTGTGAGCACGTGATTTTTTCCCTATAAGAATTACCCCCATAAAATATAGGAAAATAGTTTTTCCACTTTTTGCAATTTTATAGGATTTTTCGTAGAATTTTGTTAATTAGTTGCATCTTTGCGCATATTTAATTTCCATTAAAAGATAAAAATACCAAAAATACCATGCATTTGAATTTAGGATTTAATTTTACATTTTTAGGTTAATTAGTAAATTAGTTGTTTTATTAAAATAAAAAATCACAAAAATGGCTCTTTTTTGCATTTTTAGCCTTTTAATATTAAATTAGTAATTTCTTCTTTTAATTTAGGAGTAATTAACTTTCATAAATATCTTAGTAGGTAATTAACTTAATTTTATTGCTTAGTTTAATTTAAGAGTCTAATTTAGTTTTTTAATTAATTAAAAAAGGAAAAGAAAAACAAATGAAAAAGAGAGGAAAAGAGAATTAGGGCTGTTGATTTTGGCACAAATACTAAGGCTCAATTTTTCCATTAATCTGCCCCAGCCACTCGCCCGCCAGTCTGTCCCAAACCCGACCCGTTCCCAAATGCTAATAAACAAAAGATACACAGAACCCTAATCTCCAAGACCCAAATCGGCGTAAACATTGTTCTTCTTCTCCAAACAACCGAATCCGTTCCCAAAAATCGCCAAAATTCACGTGAGTGAAATCCAAACTCGCATCACGCATCTCTCCCTTCTCTCCTCCTGCCACATGTATAACGGTTTCTGACACCAAAGATTCCCCTCCCCTTACTCGCCCGAATTCGAGATATAGCACGCGATTGGAAGGTTCTGAGAACGATCGTTGGATGAGTGTGAGGCGTTGGATTGAATTCACTCAACCCGAGCCCCACATTCATGAGAGACCTGATCCGATTTTGAGAGACAGAGGAATTTGGGGTAAAAATTTGGAGAGAAAAGGTTTAAGGATTTTCTTTAGCTTCTCATTTGGCTCTTCTCTAAAAATTTCTTTTAAAGTTTCTCTTAAAGGTTCAAAGAAGGAGATACATTTTTTTAAAATTTCTCAATCTGGATTTGAGTTCCAAAGTGATGAAAAATGAATTGAGGTCATTCAACTGGTGGTGAGGATTAAGTTCGTCGACTTCGATTTTCTACTGTTGTCCTGTTGATTTGCTGTTGAAACTCGCTAGGATTTTGGGATCGAAAGGTGTATTTGCTGATTCTATAATTATTATAAAGGAAATTTGCGATTTCAGGGTTGATTCTTTTTTTATCCCATGTGACTCTGTTTTTAGGTGTTCTTGAGCTATGATATTCTGTCCAGAATGGTGTTTTGTTCTGTGATCGAATTTCTTGTTGATGAATCTCATCTCAATTGTGTGATGTGCTTGAGTACGTTCAGTTAGTAAGAGTAGATTTTGAGTAGTCTTCCTCTATGATTTATACGCTTTAATTGTTAAGTTGGTGTCGAGTTATCATTATCGAGTCAAGATGTCATCGTTTTCAAATGAATGATGAGTTCAGCTTTGAAAATCGCAAGCGAGCATGAAACTATGATGTTATTTCTCATTATGTGTGTTTTCCGGACTCTATGACCTGCTCCTATGAAATCTCTTTGTTTATCAGAATTTTTTTTTTGAATTAGAGTTCAAAAACCTCCTGGTTATGTTGTTAAGGAATAGCCACTTCACAAAAATGAACTTTTCTTGTGTTTCTCATGTTGTGTGCAACATGTTCTGATATTCGTGGTGATTTGCTCGAGCCCATTATTTGGCCTCGATGGTTCGACATGAACTACCAAAGAATCTTCTCTTTCCCTTGATTTCATGATCATTTTTGGCATGTTCATGCTGGACTAGAGCTGCTGAAGCTATCCTCGATAGTATGTGCTCTCTATGGCTTACCATGTTGAGATGACCAGTGAGGTTCATGTTTCCAGCAGTCATTTCTGCCTATTGAACTTCTTAAAACAGAATTTAACATGAAACTTGTGTAGTAGTGTGTTTTGTTTTCTTTGAAATCAGTTTGTATTTGCTAAGTCTTCTTGAATCTGTTGTCCTGTGGAAGCGTAAAGGATGAGATTCCATTCCTTGTTTAAATGGTTGAATGCTTTGTTCTAATCGATAGGTTAAGGCATGTTGTTTTATTTTGGTTTTGTTTTATAGAAGTTGGCAGTGTCTAGCCCGAGCTAGCGACTGAGTTGTAAGTTTGAAATCAAGGAAAGCTTTTTCAAACTGCCATCTTGTTTGAACACATAAGTGCACATTGTTGAATCCTTGTTTATGAATCTGTGTCGACCTGTGAAAGAGAAAGATAAGTTGGTTTAACAAAGAAATGAGTTCAAAGATGGGTTGCTGGTGAGAATCCTAATTGTGCTTGGATTAACTTTGTTTGTTCGATAGTTCTTGTGTGGAATGATAACAAGCTAAATGTGATGAAGCTTGACGACATAGGCCTAAACGATTTTAAGTGTTTTGTTTATTCTGAGTTGTGAAAATTACCTATTAAACAGAATTTTTAAGTTGCTGCATGACCTCCCAGATTTGCTGCTACAGATCCGTTTCTCCTCTTCTCTAGTTGTATTTTTCATTAAGTTGTCTCTTCCATTTGGTTATTACTAAGGCACACGCACCAGGAGCTTGAATTACAATTATGGAGTAAATCAATTGGATTGTTTTCGATCCTAGTTACTGTC